CCACACACAGGTACACTATGTAAGGGACCCCCATACCCAGGTACACCATGTGAGAGGACCCATACAACTAGGTACACCATGTGAGAGGACCCCTACACCCAGGTGCACCATGTGAGGGACCCCTATACCAAGGTACACCACGTGAGAGGACTCCTACACCCAGGTACACTATGTGAGAGACCCCCTACACCTAGGTACACCATGTGAGGGGACCCCTACTCCCAGGTACATCACGTAAGGGGACCCCTACACCCAGGTACACTATGTGAGGGACCCCTATACCTAGGTACTCGATGTGAGAAGACTCCTACATCCAGGTACACCGTGTGAGGGACCCCTACACTCACGTACACCATGTAAGGGGACCCCAACACCCAGGTACACTATGTGAGGGACCCCTATACCTGTGATAGTGCCTGCTATCACCCCCAATTAGTATAGTTCAGCTGTAATACTTATAAGTGGCAGGAGTTTGAGGTAAACACTGTTTGGCCTTTTGTGTTTTTATTGTCGTTTGACACCTTGTACAGAGGTAAGATATGAGTGACTATTAAGTGAATCCTCTCCAGGGAAGTACTGTGAATAACACTATGAGGTACTTTTAGTGTTTGACTTCCCTGTGGTTATGAGTTAACTGACTCACCCTTGGTGCTGGTAACTGCTTGGTTCTTTGCTAAGGTGACCTGTGGCTCAACCCCTGAGAGATCTACAAGCCAAGGGATTCATATTGTCATGCATATGAATATACATAATATACATGTATACAGTATTTGTGTGTGTATCTGCGATGCAGTTTTATACAATGCTGTTACATACCCAGGCACACTATGCGAGGAACCCTTACACCCAGGTACACAATGTGAGGGACTCCTACACCCAGGTACACCATGTGAGGGACCCCTACACCCAGGTACACCATGTGGGGGGACCCCTACACCCAGGTACATCATGTAAGGGGACCCCTACACCCAGGTTCACCATGTGAGGGACCCCTACACCCAGGTACACCATGTGAGGGGACCCCTACACCCAGGTGCACCATGTGAGGGACTCCTACACCCAGGTATACCATGTGAGGGACTCCTACACCCAGGTATACCATGTGAGGGGCCACTACACCCAGGTACAACATGTTAGGGGCCACTACACCCAGGTACACCATGTGACACTACACAGGCACACCATGTGAGGGGCCACTACACCCAGGTACACCATGTGAGGGGCCACACCCAGGTACACCATGTGGGGGGCACACCCAGGTACACCATGTGAGGGGCCACTACACCCAGGTACACCATGTGAAGGACCACAAAACACAGGTACACCATGTGAAGAACTGTTGCATCCAGGTACACCATGTGAGGGACTCCTACACCCAGGTACACCATGTGAGGGACTCCTACACCCAGGTACACTATGTGAGGGACTCCTACACCCAGGTACACCATGTGAGGGACTCCTACACCCAGGTACGCCATGTGAGGGACTCCTACACCCAGGTAAACCATGTGAGGGACTCCTACACCCAGGTACACCATGTGGGGGGCCACTACACCCAGGTACACCATGCGAGAGGGTAACACACCCAGGTCTTCTTCAACCTTTATTCACTACATACTCGCTCCTCTCCAATCGCCTCTTCCATGTCGATCTACCTTTTCACCTTCCCCTCTCCTCGACCCTAGCTCTATCTCCCCCTTCAATCTTCCCTCACCTTTCCCGTCACTCCATAATCTCCTGTAGCCTTTCCTTCTCACTCCTGTCCACTTCTGACAGGATCGTTTCTCTCACTCTCTACAGCTGTCAAGGGGTGAGATTGTGGTGGTCTCTTCCTGACTATGTTCACCCGTTCCAAAAAGTATCTTTACGGATAGGTCTGATGAATTTCAAAATGAGCACTACCACTCCCGTTGTCTCAGTAGGGTTGTCAAAATCCTTCGTCTGTTGTGTCATATTGTCTAACACAAAATTATAAACATACTTTTTGGAGCGTGTGAACATCTACTTGACAGTCAATTTAAGTACCTCAGCCTTCTATTACTCCAGCTTTCACATATTACTTCAATTCACTGTAGGAGTCACTTTAACATCCTATTTTCCTCAATAAGATTTTAAAAGCTTTCCCTTTTTTCATTAGTGAGTTGTCTAATGTCACTCAATACCTTGGCCAATAATAATTAACTTTCATTTTGTTTTGCATTTACCACTAAATCATTCAGTTTTAACCTCTTCGGCTGATAAAGTTTAGTATCAATATTTACTTCTCAATTCCCATTCCCACTCAGTACCTTGTGTTATTATACTTCAAGTGCTTCCTTTATGAGTTAACTATTGAAACCTTATCAGTAAAGGTATTCAGCTGTCATTTTTAGTTTCCGGATTACAACACCATTAAAACATGCAGCTTTCACCTTCAACTTTACCTTTACCATTAAAACATGCAGATTTCTTTCACCTTTAGCTTTCATCATTAAAACATGCAGCTATCACCTTTAACTCACCATTAAAACAGGCAGCTATCACCTTTAACTCACCATTAAACGTGCAGCTTTCACCTTTTGCTTTCACCATTCAAACATGCAGCTTTCACTTTCAACTTTTACCATTAAAACATACAGCTTCCACTTTCCACTTTACTTTTAACATTAAAACTTGCAGCTATCACCTATAACTCACCATTAAAACATGAAGCTTTCACCTTTAAAATATATTGCTTTCACCATTAAAACATGCAGCTTTCACCTTTAACTTTCACCATTAAAACATGCAGCTTTCAATTCTCACTTCAACCATGAAAACATTCACTTTCATCACTTTCACTTTTTACATGAATCATTAAGAGATCCGGCTTTCATTTCTTTCATTTACAACTATAATAATAACTTTCTCCTCTTACTTTCACCATCAAAACAGACAAGCCTCACCTCTTAATTTCACCATTTAAACCTTACACTTCCAGCTCATACTTTCACCATCAAAACATTCAACTTTCACCCTTACTTTTATACCAAAATTTACAACTTTTACCCCTTACACCGTCCTTAGAATATCAGCTTTCGTTCCTTACTTTCGCCAATAACACATTCAATTTCAACCTATTAACTGTACATACACACTTACAATTTATATCACTTATTTTCTCTACAAAACTTTCACAATATAATCAACCATCTTCGACCCCTTACTGTCACCATGAAAAAATCAGGTAGTACTTTCACCCCTAACTTTCACTACTTTCACCCTCAGCACTCCTCTCTAACAACAACAAACTTTCACTTTATACACTCATCATGAGAAGATTCAGCGTTCAACGTTCAGCATGACCAAGGAACATTCACCATGGTCAAGGAACATTCACTATGACCTAAGAACATTCACCATGGCCTAAGAACATTCACCATGGCCTAAGAACATTCACTATGACCTATGAACATTCACCGTGACCAATGAACATTCACCATGACCTATGAACATTCACCGTGACCAAGGAATAATCACCATGACCAAGGAACATTCACCATGACCAAGGAACATTCACCATGACCAAGGAACATTCACCATGACCAAGGAACATTCACCATGACCAAGGAACATTCACTATGACCAAAGAACATTCACCCTAACCCAACTATACACCACTTAACAATTTATGGAAACCCTTTAAACACTCCAGGACCATTGACAGTATCTCAGACCCACCTACAATACTCCTGGATAACTCTCAGTTGCTCAGAAACCGCACTCTATGCTCATGGGACACTCACAAAAGCCTAGAACTACCCCGCACAGTGACTCGGTATCATTTACAATGTTCTTAGACTCCACACTGTGATTCATTATCTTGGACAACTCTCAGGGATTCAGAACCTCATAAAGTGCTTCGAAACCACTCCCAGGGATTCAGAACGTTATAAAGTACTGTACTCCTTAACCACGCCAAGGGAATTAGAACCTTCTAAAATGCTTCTGAACCTCTCCCAGGGATTCAGAACTTCCTAAAATGCTTCTGGATCACTCCCAAGAATTCAGAACCTTATAAAGTACTCCTGAACCACTCCTAGGGACTGTAATAGCTGGTTAACTGTAGAATTCTGTATAAGTTAATTGGGCTGGTACATTTATATTATATTAGGTTTTAGTAGCGAAACCCAATTGTCTGTTTCTCCTTTTATTTAGAAACTGCTATTGATACAATTCCAGAGTGTAAATCAACCGTAATTTTCACTATAAATGAGAGTTAAGAGAAGGACGGAGGCTATGTAAATAGACCTGTTAATCACGTCCGACTTGTGTGAGGGATTGAGTAACAACGCCTCCAGGGTGCCGGCTTCTTTATGCTGATTCAAGCATTTACTGGCCGCACCTCAAGAAAGCTATCAATCACGTGATAAGAACATGACAACTCATAGCCAGTGGAAAGTTACAGGGGGTGATGTGGTATATAATTCAAATGTAATTAACCCATTTATATAATCTTTCTGTTGATGAGACAGGGGCTATTACAGGACCCAGAACCTCATAAAAATGCTTCTGAACCACTCCCAGGGATTCAGAACCTCCTACAATGCTTCTGAACCTCTTCCAGCGATTTAGAACCGTATAAAGTACTCCTGAACCATTCCCAGGGATTTAGAACCTCCTAAAATGCTTCTGAACCTCTTCCAGGGATTTAGAATCGTATAAAGTACTCTTGAACCACTCCCAGGGATTCAGAACCTTATAAGGTACTCCTAAACCACTTCCAGGGAATTCAGAACCTCCTAAAGTGCTTCTGGACCATTCCCGGGAATTCAGAGCCTCCCAAAATGCTTCTGGATACTCCCAGGGATTCAGAACCTAATAAGGTACTTCTGAACCACTCCCAGGGATTCAAAACCTCCTAAAATGCTTCTGAACCTCTTCCAGGGATTCAGAACCTTATAAAGTACTCCTGGACCAGTTCCAGGGATTCAGAACCTTATAATGTGCTCCGATCATTCACATAGCTCAGTATTACGTACCATTCCTGTGACCCAGAAGAAGATAAGCCACTCGACGAAGGTTGGCGCAGGACCTCTAAGGTTCCTGCGGTGCCTCTCACTGCCCTCGGTCCTGGTGGAGGCCAACACCAGCAGCACCAAAAACAACCCAAAGGATGCGCTGCAACAGGGAGGAGAGAGATATTAAAACATGACGGTAGAAAACCTAAGGAAGTTAAAGATGAGGTAGATATTCGAACATGGAGAAAAATGAGTTTGTACCACACACCTCAAATTATATACTCGTCTACATAAGATAAATCAACACATATCTAAAGTGATAATGATTTAGTTCCCGGGGAAAGATTTTATATTCATTATGCAAAGAAACTATGATTGTGTTGCTTGAGGTTAAGTTGAGTTGGGTTAGTTTTGGTTAGGTTAAGAATGATTGCTAGCAGTCAGACTTTTACCCCAGAAACGGCACTCTTGTTTTAAGATATAGTCTTGATCTGATTATCATATGGTAAAGAAAACCTCGTACTCATATGACCTTCCCCGCGTGGGTGTGTGGAAGATATGGGCCGGGGAGGATTTTCTTATGAATTTCACTGGAGGCTTGGGTTCAAATGCAGGCTTGTACAATACATTTAAATTTAAATACAATATATTAAACCAATCAAATACAAGTGTTCTAAACTAATCAAATACACATTGTTTAAACTGATTAAATGAACAAAAAACAACAAAGTTAAAATACAAATTCATATACTATCAGACACAGCCAGGCTACTCGTCTGGGCAGGGATGAGGTGAGCACTTGGATAATCCTTTAAATTTGGGTTCGGTTTGGGAGGTTTTGAGGTTCTTGTGGTCCACTTCATGAGTGGGTTCCAAATGAGCCAAGTTGACGTGCTCCCCCACCGGCTGTGCATCAAACATAAAGCCGTACTGAAGATCCAGAGAGGGATGGATGTCACGCACCACCAACACGAGGGGACATAACTACAAATTCTCCAATGTGTCATGAAGAACGAACATAAGGAAATACTTTTACACACACACAGAGGCTGGTAGACCTATGGAACGGTCTACCAGCCCAAGCTGTGGAATCTAGAGCAGTACTGGGCTTCAAAATAGACCTTAAAAAAAATTATCATGAATAATGGAAGGATCCTGCACAGGCCACTTACCTCCTTCCCTCGCCATGGCCACCTCTAGAGAGTGGCCATTAGGTAAATAAGGTAAGGTAGATAAAAAAAGGCGAGGCAGAAAAGCTAACCTGAACCTCTGGAGGAAGAATCAGTTAGTAAAAACCTTCGAGAACAAAATTACAAACTATAAATAACCTTAACCTTGATTGTTTATAAAAGCCTGTGTTAAGACTGTTACTGAGGGACTGGTATGAGGACTGGGTGAGTGTGAGGTGGTGGTGTTCCTTGTGCTGTAAGAACTGGCGACACAAAAAACGGGAAGTAGAAAAAATCACACAAGCTTTAAGTTCCTTGCTGCTTCTTTTTGGAATTTTCAATATATAAATTTTCTCTTTAATAACTGGAATATATGTAACTATTTTTTTAGTTTGTAATATATGCCAAATATAAGGTTTCCTGATTATCTAAATATTATTTTCACCTCCGATAATTTTTATTTATCTTATTTATTACTTCTTCCACTCGGGTATTTTTCTATTCTACAAATGTAACTAGAATCCGTCACAACTACAAACTATAAACCCAATTTAGGGCAGGAATGGAGGGTAAAGCAAGTGTAATTTACTAAACTGAACTAAACCCACAAATGGCTCGGTGAAATGTAATCACGTAAATTGAGTTACAAGGCCAACCACTCATTGATTAACTTCCGACTAAAACCAACCCTCCATCAACACCACCACGGTAAACAGTCTACCTCAACCCCCCATCAACACCACCACGGTAAACAGTCTACCTCAACCCCCCATCAACACCACCACGGTAAACAGTCTACCTCAACCCTCCATCAACACCACCACGGTAAACAGTCTACCTCAACCCTCCATCAACACCACCACGGTAAACAGTCTACCTCAACCCACCATCTCAACCCACCATCGACTCACTCACGGTAAACAGTCTACCTCAACCCACCATCAACACCACCACGGTAAACATTCTACCTCAACCCCCATCAACACCACCACGGTAAACAGTCTACCTCAACCCTCCATCAACACCACCACGGTAAACAGTCTACCTCAACCCACCATCAACACCACTAAGGTAAACAGTCTACCTCAACCCACCATCAACACCACTAAGGTAAACAGTCTACCTCATCCCACCATCAACACCACTACGGTATTCAGTCTATCTCAACCCACCAGTCACCAACCCACCATCACCACCACGGTAAACAGCTCCACTCAACCCACCATCAACACCACCACGGCAAACAGCTCACTCCCCAACCCACCATCAACACCACCACGGCAAACAGCCCACTCTCAACCCCATCAACACCACCTCACGGTAAACAGTTTACTCAACCCCATCAACACCACCACGGTAAACAAGGCCCACCTCAACCCTCCATCAACACCACCACGGTAAACATTCTTCCCACCAACCCCCATCAACACCACCACGGTAAACATTCTACCAACCCCATCAACACCACACCACGGTAAACATTCTACCCCAACCCCATCAACACCTGCCACCACGGTAAACAGTCTACCAACCCCCATCAACACCACCACGGTAAACAGTCTACCTCAACCCTCCATCAACACCACTAAGGTAAACAGTCTACCTCAACCCTCCATCAACACCACCACGGTAAACAGTCTACCTCATCCCACCATCAACATCACTACGGTATTCAGTCTACCTCAACCCACCTAACCTAACCTTGACTCACCTGTGGTAGATAAACTTCATAAAGGGGGAGCGGATGACCCTGCCGAGGCTGGTCCTGGGAAAGATGAGGTAGATGATGGCGATGACCGGCATACACACGATGATGGAGAGGCACAGAAGGATCTTGACCAGGGCGTTCCTCCTCCGCCAGATGGGCAGACCCTCGTGCCACACCGACGTGAGCAGCTGCTGGCAGTTTGGGTGAGCCACGAACTGCCAACCAAGAGGAGGGAGAGAGGGAGAAAAAGAGAAGGGTGGTGAGATGGATGAAGAGAGAGAAAGGGATGGAAAGGTGGAAATGTGATTGGAAAGTGGAAGGAGTGGTTTCAGCATGTTTTGAGACAGACAGACAGACAGACAAAGGCGGGGAGGAAAAGATAAGATATGAAAGCAAAACAAGTAGTATACGTACAGTGTATACAGAGAGAGAGAGAGAGAGAGAGAGAGAGAGAGAGAGAGAGAGAGAGAGAGAGAGAGAGAGAGAGAGAGAGAGAGAGAGAGAGAGAAAAAAAAGAGTTAAAACATATTCAGTGTTATCCCTGACTCCCCGTGACACAACAGAATAAAGAACAAAGGCATCAGGACACAGCGAGTTGGACAGGGGAAGAGTGAGGGGGAGGATGATGCCACACTTTTTGACAACGGTGCTTACAAGTGTCTCATGGATAAGCGAGTTGACACCAAGAAGGATTCATCCCAGTACTAAAACCTTGTAATTATTCTGACATAATAAGATTAACGAAAATTTGGGTGATGAAAACTTAGAGTACTGATGATAACAATAAGTTTGGAAGAATAACTAAATTAAAATACTCGTGATTTAAGGGGTCCTCTGAGGTGTTATTTCTCTTCACTTGCATGAGATCTTATAAGGAGGAATCTATACGTTCCTGCTCCTGGTATCCCTTCATGCACCTCTCCCTACCTGTTTTTGGTCATACTTGAGGGCCAACTTGAGTCTCGAGAGTTTCAGCTGCTGTTGGGGGTCGTCGTCATCGTCGTCGTCATCAGAGTCTTCTTCACTACGACGGTTGAGGACGGCGATGACCTGCAGGAGGACAAAAGTCATGTTCCGGGTACTTAAAAGATTCATGGGTGGAATTTTCCTCGTAACTGAGTCATCTTTAGGAGTTTTCATTTAGTAACTTTTAATGAATAAATATTGGCCAGTAAGTAACCTTGCTCGGGACACCTCCATTGTACATATTCAGGGAAAGCATTCGTAAATTATATCTGCGTTGGCTTAGAAAGTGGACAGGATGAGAGGCACATGCTCTCCGGGCTTAACTACAGGTTGGGGCAGATTAAACGCTGCTCACGAGTTATCACCACGGAGAAGTGAGATTGAGCTTCAAAACTGCAACCAAAGAAGAGTGCAAGACGCTGGTGGCCTGGATATCGAGTGTACCTGAAGGCTAATTACCCAGCCAGGTGCTGTGGTAACGGACAGGCGTTAAGCAGGAGGCCGCCGTCACAAGGCCAGCGGGACTAGGTCTTTTGCTGTCTGTGGGGCAGTCAGCAGCCAACAGCCACTGGAGAGGGTTCTGTGGGGATAATTGTTCCCTGCTTTGTGGAGAAGCGGATGCGTGGCGAGAACTCTGAGTTGGAGGAGGGGAGTGAAAATCCTGTGTGAGGGAGTAATGTGAGGGAGAGGGTGGTGGGGAGGAGTTGTGGGGGAGGGGGGGAGTAGTGTAAGGGAGTAATGTGGAGGAGGCGGTAGTGAGGAGTAGTTGAGGGATGGGGTGGAAAGGAGCAGTGTAGGAGAGGAGATAATTGTGTAAGGGTGGTGGTGGTGGTGGTGGGGAGGGAGTATGGGGTAAAGGGAAGAGCAGGTGGCCGAGGAAGGTTAATTACCATATGGACCAGGTAGCTCATGGCAGTGGGGGGGGGGGGACCAATATCTCCCTGTATCAGATAAACAACATCAACATAGCTATTTTCACCACCACAACCTGTGGAAAATTGAGTGAAAATACTGTGAACTGGTCACTACCGCTCAGCCACACCTCACACAAAGGAAAAAAACATTTTTATTTTTGTTGTTCTCTTTTGTTGGGACAGCCTCAGCCAGCAGCTCACAGAGGGCGCCACACACCTAACTGGTCCACACTAATTTGAAGAATGACCACTCAGTCGTTCCGTAGGTGAGACACTTTGGTCTGGTTGAAATTTAAAAATATATATATTTGCTAAGTAAAGTGCATGGCGGAATATGACAATTTTGGCAGGCAATGAAAACTAAGTTTCAACAACAGGGGACTCATGGGCTGTGTTTAATCGTTAATTTCAGGCCCGACTGATGTTTGTTGTGGAGGGAATATTTGCTTTGTTAAATACACTGTAAATGTACGGTTGCTGGTTTTGAAAGCCAACATACGAGTACATACATACATACATACATACATACATACATACATACATACATACATACATACATACACTTAGAAAATACATCAATTCAAGTCAAATAAATGAGCAAACTCCAAGTAAGTGATGAGGTGGACTATATACGCAAGTCTATAGATGTCTAAACAAAGAGGTGACCCAGCAGTATGAAGTAAACATAATGATGAATATAATTGTTAACTCAGGTAAGGTTGTATGTGGTGTTTAGGGGGACGGCAATAATGTTAGTGATATGATGGAGAGAGAGAGAGAGAGAGAGAGAGAGAGAGAGAGAGAGAGAGAGAGAGAGAGAGAGAGAGAGAGAGAGAGAGAGAGAGAGAGAGAGAGAGAGAGAGAGAGAGAGAGAGAGAGAGAGAGAGAGAGAGAGAGTATGTATGTGTGTTTAATGGTAAGTATTTTAGTATCACGTGTACTAGAGATTGTGGAATAAAGGTTGAAGAGACGGTAATTCCCTTTTCCCTTCATCCCTGTCTCTTTATCCTTTCATATCTCCCCCTTCTACCTTCTCTGATTCCATCTCTCCCAGCCTGGTTGTTTCCTTTCCTCCTTCTTCTCCATTTCTATTTAGTTTCCTTTCATCTATTCCTTCGCTGCCTGTATGTCTTTATATTTGCCTGCCTCTTTCTCTCCTTCCTTCCTCCTTTCTGACCCTTATATTTATCCCTGTTTCCTCCTCTCCTTCTCCTCCCTGCCTCCTTCCCTCCTCCTCCCTTCCCCCTGTCTCCCTCCCTTATCCTCCCCATCTCTCTCTCCTCCCTATCTCCCTGTCTCTCTCTCCTCCTTCCCTGTCTCCTCCCCTTATCCTCCCCTGTCTCCTCTTATTCTTCCCTGTCTCCCCTCCCTTCCCTCTGTCTCCCTGCTTGCCTCACCTCCTGGGTAGAGCGACACTGGTGCAGCAGGTCACAGGTGTACTTCTTGCACTGCTCGCTCAGCTCCAGGTAGGTGTCCTTGAACTCATTCTCAACCCTGGCTAGCCGCTCCAGTTCCCACGACAGCTGTAACACACGGGTCTCAGCGTTAATGAGGCCGCCTGGACCGGTGTTCTCAGGTTAACTGCGAGGTCAGTAAGATTGCCGGCACAGATAACTATTTATACACCAGAGTTACAAAGAAAACTACAGACCAAGAGAGACTAGAAACGTGTAGACCGGAATACTTACCCTGAAGGCGGCAAGGACGGGGTCTTCGGATGTGAGGGAGATCCAGGCTGGGGAGGCGAGGGCGCGGTAGGTATGGATGCGCCTCATGGAGTACCTCAGGGAGTCGTCATGGAAGCCTTCCGTGCACTGGCGGCAACAGCACGACAATGGATGAGGCTTGTCGATGTACGCCCCTGACGGAACATAAGCACGGCATCATAGTGAGCTGGTGGGTACAGTGGGGAAGAAGGATGGGGTAGGGGGAAGAAGGATGGGGTAGGGGGGGGGAGGGGGGGGGTGGGGCAGGGAGGGTGTAAGGGAAGGTGTGGTAGGTGGATAAGGCAGGGAGGGTGAGGCAGAGAGTTAGGCAAGAGGGGTGGGGGAAAGAGAGGGGTGGGGGAGGCAGGTGAGGCAGGGAGGGTGAGGCAGGGAGGGGGGGGTGGTAGGAGGAGGGTGGGAAAGAAGGGGGTGGTAGGGTGGGTGGGGGAGGTGTGGTAGGGAGGGTGTGGTGGTAGGGTGGTGTGGGAGGGTGGTGTGTCTCAGGATAAAAGGTTAATTAATTTGGCACAGACAAAAAAAAATATATTTCATCATCTTTAAATTCTCTCTCACCTTTTTGAGGAAGGAGGGATGATAAGAATATAATTTAACTTGGTGGAAATTTAATTGCGAAGTTGAAATAAAATGGTTATCCCAACTAGTTTTTCCATTATAATGAATTATCTAGATCTGTGGTGCGTGGTGTTGTGTTGGTGCGTGGTGTGGTGCGTGGGCTGGGGCGTGGTGGTGGTAGGGGCGTGGTGCTGGTGGGAGGCAGGTTGGTGGGGCGTGGTGGTGGTAGGGGCGTGGTGCTGGTGAGGGAGGCAGTGTGGTGGGGCTGGTGGGAGGCAGTGTTGGTAAGGGCGTGGTGGTGGTAGGGGCGTGGTGCTGGTGAGGGAGGGTGTTGGTAGGGGCGTGGTGGTGGTAGGGCGTGGTGCTGGTGAGGGGCAGTGCGTGGTGGTGGTAGGGGCGTGGTGCTGGGGAGGGAGGCGTGGTGGTGGTAGGGGCGTGGTGCTGGTGAGGAGGGGTGTTGGTAGGGGCGTGGTGGTGGTAGGGGCGTGGTGCTGGTGAGGGAGGCAGTGTTGGTAGGGGCGTGGTGACGGTGGTGAGGGAGGCGGTGTTAGTAAGGGTGGTGGTGGTGGAGAGATAAATATTATAGGTAGGGGCGTGGTGGTGGTGAGGGAGGGAGACGGTACAAGGTCAAGTTTATATAATTTGTTTGAACACGAACACTTTCAGGACTCAACTAATTCACACACAAAAAATATAATGTTCTCCCAAAGGTACACAAATTCATATGACAAAACAAATATATTTTAGTGAGTAAAGACTTGGATGGCCGGCCCAAGAGCCACCTAGGCGTGAATTTGTTTAAACGAAATAGTTTTTAACCCTTTCACAGCGGGAGGTTACCCTAAGCTGAATAAAATGGCCTGGCGGTAGCCAAAATAAAATGGCAAGTGCGTGACACGCAGTGAAAGGGTTAAGGTGTACAAACTGTCGCCAACACAACAACCACACCCTAAGTTAACGAGCTGCATGACCGGAAAACTCGCAAACTGCATTGGTTAACCATTACCCCGGAATACGATCCGCAAAACGATTAACAGCCAGGTCCCCAGTTACTGCTGGGTAGACAGAGGCAAATGGCGTAAAGAAACTTGTCCATAATTCACCCTACCCAGGGATAGAACATGGGTCCGCTAGCTTGCGAGGCGAGCATGCTGACCATTACACCACAGTTCGCCATACATACATACACTGTGTTCCCCAGAGGCGGACACAATATGATATTAACATTAAAGAGAAAGACTAATGACGGCCCCTCGAGACAAGCAGTGACTCTCATGACAACTGATCTTAAATCCTGATTGGTTAAGAAACAATTCAGAGTTAATGACATTCTTATGGAGCGAAAGTTTTTCCCGGCGAGATCGTTATCTTACCTGACGATAATGAAGGTCGGGGAAGTGATTCCTCAAGTGGTCACTCACAACATCTCGAATATAAGAGATTTTATAAAGAATATTTTGTTGACCGTCAACTATTATAAGTATTTTCTTGGTTAGGTATTAAGGTAATAGAGAAAATTCGTAACATCAAATTTATCTATTTATCTATCTGTCTTTTTTTTTTGTCTGTTCACACTGGTTTCTTAAGGTTCAGTCATATTTTATAACACACACACACGAGTATATAGTGTGTGTGTGTTCTCAAGATGTATTTGAGATAAGGCCTTAGGAAAACTATCTCCACGGTAAAACTTTACGGAGCATCACCAGTGTAGGAGACTGCTCGGCCTCAGGCCGTAAGTGTTCACCGTGCCGGGGACTTCTTTCTGTCCATTCCAGTTTCCTCTAAACTTTAGAGTCTAAAGGTAACTGCCCCGACCCATTAGCCTTGTCTATCGGGCATTGGTCTTCGCCTCGTCACTCCAACCTTCAGGTGATTAAGGGGAAAGGTGACGTTTGAAGGGTATGGGATCCATGACTTTACCAGTAAAAACTTTAATGACTGGAACACGCAACAGAACAAGTCAACCAATTAATACAGGTGATGTGGTACCATACATCTGCTTGTCTTTACGTTAACTCATACTTTCACTTCATAGCAAAAAAATTCAAGTGGTGCGGTGGGCTACAGAGAAGCCACTAATCTGCCGAGTACAGTATAAGGATACAATGTCACCCGCCAGGCTACAAGTAGACGTCGGAGTATCTGATTACACATAAATTATTCAAGTTTTCGTAATGTTTACCTAGCTGGAAGGGGCTAAGGCGGATATGAATTAAGCAGATAACTTAAGAGTTTAGCAAGAGTTTGGCAGAATTCATTTCCGGATTCAGTGTACTAGGTCTCTTATCTCTCCGCCACCATCACCGTCCCCACACAAAATTACAAGTAACTTAATCTCTATATTGTTCAAAGTTATTTTCACTATCCCTCTTTGCATTGCCAATGATGACAAAGTAAATACAGAATATGATTGTGAAGTTTTGATGACGTTAGTAAACTGATCAGATACCCAGCAAGATGTTCAATGTGGAAAAAAAGTCAACGAGTAGAACGGCTAGAGCATTTGTTTGTTTTTATAACCTTGTATCTATATTTGATGCAATTAGACGACTCAAAGTAAACAAATCCCCTCGGGTCGTCAGGTAAGGTTTGGGTGGGTCGTGTTGAGTAAACCTGCACACAAATTGGTTTAGCGATCATGTTCGTGGTACTTTTCAAACATCATACATATTGCACACGCACCAGTGTTCTGTATAGCGACAATACGAAGACAGTGTCGTGTTGTACAGACTTCAAATACCAAATACTGTAATACGTCGTTGCTATTTACTTAGTGTGTTTACGTGACACTGATGTCAACTGTAGCCTCAAGTTTCCTGATTGACTGAGGGACGGATTGTAAAACTGTCTTCAGGCCCTTGTGACAGCCAGCCTATTGTCAATTCTTGGTCACCCTTGTCATATCTTCATTCTTTTCATCAAAAAATGAAACCTAAGTTAAGTTCCCTGGCAGATTGAAACTATGGACAAGTTCCGTTACGCCATTTATCTTCAGGTATAAGTAGATACAGCACTCTCCTATGCTAAAGCTCACTATGGTTATGTGTGTGTGTCGTTGGAGTCAGGTACTACACCTTAAAGTCCCATGCTGGTATCATTAGGGAAGTCTTTCTCGAACATGAGTAAAATTAACCATTATAAATCTCTCTTGTATGAACACCTGTCACTACACTCGTCTTTTATTGTAAATATAAATTTACTCTGTAACTAAATTCGTTCTCCTCCTTCTTACCCCCAATTTATTTCCGATTACTTCATCACCTACGTCATTCCAACCCACACCTTCACTCGCCCCCATCTTCACCCTCCTCACCCACACCTCATTCCAACCCACACCTTCACTCGTTCCTACCTTCACCCACCCCTCATTCCAATCCACACCTTCAATAGCCCCCACCTTCACCCTCCTCGACGACCACCTCAGAGGATAAAGTGCCGTCCATTTCTCAAGTGATTGGGCCCTCAAGATTTGGAGATTTCACAGAATACGGTGGTGAGGGGTTCTGAAGGGGAACTCCACTCAACCCGACGAGCACTTTATTTTTGTCCATAATGGCGACAAGCGGGAAGGAAATTGTGTTACTTTACGCACTAGAGGAGAATATATGAGAGCTAAAGAAACGGAGGAATGGGAGGAAGGGAGTAGTAACTGAAATATGGAAATAGGAATGTGTAATAATATGACTAGGAGAAAGATACCTAGAAAGGATGAAAGACTGATGAGGGTAGGAACAGTAACATTAGAGAGAGAGAGAGAGAGAGAGAGAGAGAGAGAGGAGAGAGAGAGAGAGAGAGAGAGAGAGAGAGAGAGAGAGAGAGAGAGAGAGAGAGAGAGAGAGAGAGAGAGAGAGAGAGAGAGAGAGAGAGAGAGGAGAGAGAGAGAGAGAGGAGAGAGAGAGCAATGGTATCTCACCGAAAGACAGACAAAGTGCACACGTCCCGCTGGGAGCGGTATGTGGAAATAAAATAAAAGGCGCAGAGACAATGAAGCGACGGTCATATGCAGCAAATATAATGAATATTGTTATAATAGATTTTCACAACGTTTGGGAGGCAAATAAAATGATCAGGCAAAACTCACTGTAGAAATCAAAGAAAAAATTGTTCACCGATCTTTCCCACTGCACTGCCAGGTTGAACTGCCACTCCTGTTACCGTGTCATTTGTAAACATGAAACGTGACCTCAATGTCATGTAAAAACTGAAAGCTCCACACACACACACACACACACACACACACACACACACACACACACACACACACACACACACGCACACATTTTGTGATTTCTCGTTGTCATCCGAGATCCAATGGTCCGCGTATTGCAGTGATTTTTCAGAAATAAGATTCGGCTATTATTATTATTATTGTTGTTGTTGTTGTTATCTAAACTACAGACCACGCAACCACCCACAAAAATAGTGAGTGATCTGTTCCAAAACATTTAGAGCTTATAAGATTACCACCCCCCCCCCCTGCCATGATGACCCACACATCTGACCTCCTGACATTTGACCCTTCAGTAACAATTTGGTCACCCGATAACACATACAAGCATTACTATACTATTATTTATATACTTTTATTTATTCGAATTCTCTCTTCCCCCTCCCCAACAAAAAGAAAAAAATAGTCTAAAAAATAGTGTTATTGACTATTTATTCTGAAATATTGTGAGTAAAATGTGTACCTCTATTAGAATGATAAATTGAAGGAATTACTCTTGATGTTTACAGTATGTTGGAATTTTGTTGTAATTTATGAGGCTAGTTGATGGTAGTGGTAGTAATGGTGATGGTAATTATGATGGTAGTGGTGGTAATAGTGGTGGAAATATTGGTGGTAGTGATGGTAATGGTTGTGGTAATGGTGGTTGTAATGGTGATGGTAGTTGTAATGATGGTAATTGTGGTAGTGGTGGTAATGGTAGTGGTGGTAAAGGTTGTGGGTGATGTATGATGGTGGTGACAGTGATGGTGATAGTGATGATAGTGGTTATTGTGGATGTTGATACCTGAGTTTCCCACTAAATTGAATCTCCGTCGCCTCCGAGAAGATAAATGACATGAAATCCTGTCCATTCACTCATTTTTTTTACACGTGGTAAAGTGTAAACAGCAGAAGTGATACAACAGCTTGATTCGTGGTAGATATCTACCCTAATTTGCACTCTAATTTAATTTGACTTCAATCCTAACCTTACCTAACCTAACCTTACCTTACCTAACCTAACCTCACCTCACCTCCCTTAACCTAACCTAACCTACCCCCCAAAAAAAAAAAACATTCTCAGGTCAGGCATTGGGTTAGCTTGGTTTAAGTTAATTAGCCTAAGTTGAATTAGGTAGAGTTAAATTAGGTTATGTTAACTTAGATTTGGTTTAGGTTAGTAAGTACCATTAGATTAAACTATATATTAATTTAGATTATGTTCGGTTAGATTAAATTTGATCAGGTTTGGTTTGGTTAAATTAGGTTAGGTTAGGTTAGGTTAGGTTATATGAAATTAGGTTAGGCTTTGTTACGTTACGTTAGGTTAGGATATATAAAATTAGGTTCGCTGAAATCAAATTAAATTAAACTAAATTAAATGAGGTTCAACATCAACACACAACAGTGAAACAAAATGTTTCACCAGTCAACAGTGAACACTATCCGACAAAATTACTTAAACTCAGCAACATCAAAGGTCAATGCAATTTCATAATATATTGTTCAATTAACGTTAAGTACCTTTACGGAGGTGGGTCACGCAGGTGTTATTGTTATGGATATTGCTGCCACAGAAAAACAGTTGTTGCGCAATTGTTGAAGTTTTAAGTGGGAAGCTGTATTGACTTGTGTGTGGAGTAGTAAGAATGTGTGTGTGTGTGTGTGTGTGTGTGTGTGTGTGTGTGTGTGTGTGTGTGTGTGTGTGTGTGTGTACGGAATCAGAGGTCAACACTAACACTTCACAGTAGTAATCATTTCATTAATTCTAAGATATTAAATAGAACATGAACCCGTAAAATGTTAATCCTTACACCTCTGTCCAATTAATTCAAAATATAAGTACAATCATATTTACCTGCGAGTCAAAATCAATTTAGTTTCTCCCTTCAATTTTATTCAAACATCCACGGCCAGATATTGTACATCCATATTCAATTACTCCTATATCCATGCCCAGTTATTTCACTCAATTAAATCTAAACAAATTTATAGAACTCTCTCCATTTTTTTCCCTTCAGTAATGTTAAAGCAATTAAGTGTATTCACAGGTTAAAAATAACATACAGTGTATAACTTATATCAAGGATTTTTTGGATACTATATAAACACACACACGTACACATTCTCCACACATACATACACAAACACACACATGTACACATTTCCCCCATACACACGTACACATACCCCTACAGACGCACACATACCCTCACACACGTACAAATTCTCGAGAGACACACACACGTACACATCTTCCCCAGACACGTACACATCCCCACACACACGAACATTTCCCCCACTCACGTACACATCTCTCCACATACGTACACCCCACCCCCCCCACACACACACACATACAGACACACACACACACACACACACACACACACACACACACACACACACACGCACATCCCCACACACACGTACATCTCCCCACACACACGTGACATCCCCACACACGCACATACCACACACACGTACACATCCCCACACACACGTACACATCCCCACACACACGTACACATCCCCACACACACGTACACATCCCCACACACACGTACACATCCCCACACACACGTACACTCACCTCGGGACAGGAAGAGCTGAAGAATCTCGAACTGGTTACAGTGGGCAGCCAGGATGATGGGCGAGATATTAGGGTCAAAGTCGCTTGATTCCTCCCCTCCAGCGCGAACCTAAAAACACAGGTAGTGGGGATTAGCGGAGCACAGGTAGTGGGGTCTAGTAGGGTACAGGTAGTGGGGGCTAGGGGTGGGGGTACAGGTAGGGGGGGCTGTGGGCACAGGTAGGGGGCTAGTGGGCACAGGTAGTGGGGCTACAGGTGGGGTAGTGGGGTTCAGGTAGTGGGGGCTAGAGGGGCACAGGTAGTGGGGGTTAGGTGGGGCAGGCTGGGGGGCTAGTGAGGCACAGGTAGTGGGGTTAGTGGGGTTCAGGTAGTGGGGGGCTGGGGGCATGTAGTGGGGGTTAGTGGGGGCAAGGTAGTGGGGGCCAGGTGTGGGGGTTAGTGGGGGGTAGGGCTAGTGGGGTACAGGGGGCCAGTCAGGGTAATAGTGAGGGGGGGGTTAGGGGTTCAGGTAGTGGGGCTAGAGGGCACAGGTAGTGGGGGCTAGTGGGGTACAGGTAGTGGGGGCTAGTGGGGTACAGGTAGTGGGAGGCTAGTGATGTACAGGTAGTGGGGGCTAGTGGGGTACAGGTAGTGGGGATCTAGTGTGATACAGGTAGTGGGATAGACACCTGTGCATTTCTATCAGGTAAAATATGATCATAAAGAGAGACACCATACCTGAATCTTAGGATGAATTAGGAAATGATCTGTCCTTGTTCCGGCTTGTCATTGCATCTTCTTCATTACCTTCTAAACTTACACATATATTACACTTATTGAGTCAGTGTTAACCTTCGGAGTTATAATGTGTACTGTGTGTAACTGAGGCAGGTAAAGTAAGTGATCTATAGTGTTGGATAATTTAAGGATTTGGATTCCTCAACTCTCTTTAGAAGTTGATGGAGGATGGAAGATTGAAGTGCGTAAAGATAGTCTGAAGAAGATGAAGAGAATAGGAGAAAACTCAGTAGAGAATATATTAAGAATCATTAGAGGAATTCTATCTGGGTCTGAAATTTCACAATTTTGAGAACAGAAATAGGAGAATCCGTATCCAAATGTGAAACTTCCTGTTCTCCCGTCGTTGTGTGGTGTTGAGTTAGAGGCAAAATTCGAGAGAAAAGATTGACCTTCTGTTGGGAATCTGAAATCCCTGAACTATCGGGTGAATCTTGAAAGCATTAAACTTAAACCTGACTATTTGCTCTTTCTTACGTTGTTCTACCGCCTGAAACATTTATTTATGTGTGAAGACTTTGATTTGCATATCTTTACAAATACTTTAATGTGGTTTCTTGTATGTTTGTGATTATTGAAGGAATTTTGCAGCAAAAACACTATTGAAACATGAGGGAAGTAAGAAAGTCTTAGAATATTTAACTCAGAATGAACTACTCTGTCCCGACCACGATGACAGCAGTGAGGGGTTCAGCAGTAGTAAAATAATCATAACAAAAATAGAGAAAGACGAAGGAAAAGAGAAACAGATATTCCATAGTCTGTCACAGTCGTCTTGATCATCACGGAGGAAACATTGAGACAATAAAATTTGGAGAGTTTGTAAGAGAGACCTGGCAGGGGTCCGCAATATCCTGGAGTCCGCTATACCAGGGGTATGGATGGCGGTATTGACTGGATGGGGGAGAGTGAATGAGGTAACAAAATGCTCCCCTCCACATCGACCTGGATAGTGTGAGCAGAATACATCAGCCATTCTGTGCTGTGAATATTGATATCATTCAGTATTATGAGTTCGGGTGTAGGAACAGGTCCAATAGAGATGCTGATAACCACTTAGGAAAAAAAACCCACCAAGTTCCCAAGCGCTTTCGTGTTATTCACATCTCCAGGAGTGAGTACAGTCTGTCAGTCTGTACTCACTCCTTGGGAACTTCGTGCCTTAATTTTCCTATTTGGTTATATGCATATACTGTACATGGATGACGCACACCTCCAGTGATTTATTTGCACACACACACACACACACACACACACATATATATATATATATATATATATATATATATATATATATATATATATATATATATATATATATATATATATATATATATATATATATATATATATATATAATATACAGTCACTCAAAAAGTTGTCTTTACTGAGGGGTCTGATGAATTTCAAAATGAACACTGCGGCTCCTGTTGTCTCGGTAGGATTGTCAAAATCCTTCGCTGGTTCTGTCATACTGTGTCACAAATTTGTAAATGTACATTTTGGGGTGACTGTACAGTGTCTACCAGGCGCCTTCAAGAGAGCTCTGGCACTCTACATGATTAGCCATGTCAATATTGTTGTTGTTGTTCAATTTTTACAATATCTATTTTTCTAGCTCAGTAAACTGTTTCAATAAAGTGGCTGGACGGTATTAACGGTGTTAGCTGCAAGGGGCTCTTGAGGTGTCAGACCCTGGCCCTATTAGGCCCATCCATATTGTGAAGCCTAAGCAGTATGCGAGGCTGAAGTTTGGGGGATGTCCATCTACCTGACTCGGGTCAGTGTGGCATTTACTGGCCCGTTTTCTCCTGATATGACCCTACAACAACAATATGGCCGTCATTACCTGGAGGCTGTACAGGAGAGCACAGCTGGTACTCGCCAGGTAGAACATTAAGGATGTCAACATATATAACTTTAGCAGTAAATAGTTGCAGAACTTTCTCAAATGTGAACAACTTTAACAGAACTAGAAGAAGAATTTTAAAGATAAAATTGGGCATTGTGGGACTAAATGAAGTAAGGTGAGAAGAAAAGAAGTTCAAGATAAATCAGTAATTTATATTGATAAGGAACGATCACAGGTATATATTTACGAGTCGTAAGATTCCCTAAAGAGTCTGAGAAATAACATTGTAGCCGGTGATAGTCTGGCAGAGTGAGTAGTGAAGTTAATGTTTAAATTACAATAGTATAACCCCACACTGTTTAAACTTATGTCCAAACATCAAACAAAAGCAGAAATATTCTGTATAGATTGAATTAACTTCTGTAACATGACAGTTTATTATATGTGACTTTAACACCAAAACTGAACGATAATTTATTGGCAATTTCTTACGAAAATTTGATGCGAAAGACAAGAGAGGCGTTCATGTCACTCTGTACAGAACACAAGAGTTTGTTCACTAGTCTTTAATCAGGAGAATAACTTATAGAAATTGGACTATGTAAGGCCTCAATAAGAATCAAAAGGGAAGCGGTTGCCAGTATTTACATATAGTATGAGGTAGTTAACTAGATTGTACATATTAACGAGCTAAGTAGAAAAGTTGAAAACATCTTGTATTAACGTTGAAGGCTTAAAGGTCAACCCCGAGTTTAGTCATTTTGCAGTATTATTGTTATTGCTTTCCAAAGAATGGATAAAATATTGAAAAATAAAGACTTAGTTTTGGCAACACTCACCCTCTTCTGGTGGGCGTGACGTCATCGATAATCAACACTGACGCCCATAATACTTCACTAACAAGCCATGTAAAGTTACACTGATATAATTACTCGTCAACATTTCCCATCAACAATATTATATGACAGAGATCTATATGAGAATTTATTAATGTGTTGTACATACTGTAATACAACATTAATATTTCATAAAGAATTATCATTTATTAACCTCGCCAAGACTACTGGAAGGTAACTAAGCACACCTGGCCACCAGACTCACCTGGTGTGAAAGATGTCATGACGTCTTGTACTAAAAAAAAATTCGTTTATATGAAGAAAATAATGAGTTGCTCTAATACGTTACCATTAACTATATTGCAAATCTTTATTTAGGTAACTATCTGATTATATTTAAGAAATCATAAACTGTGATATAAATGTACGGTGAGTTATGGAGGAAAGTGTTCAGTTCTTTAGTTAACGTGAGGACGATCTCTACCAAGTGACAGCCACTTCTGTATCACTTAACATGGAGTTGTAAAGTATAGAAAAAGTGGTAACGTTAAGAAACAACTATTTTTATTATAAGTGAAAATACATAAAACCAGGTTCGGAATCAGTGTGTGTGTGTGTGTGTGTGTGTGTGTGTGTGTGTGTGTGTGTGTGTGTTACCTGACTGACCCTTACAAGACTTCTGGTAGTGCAGGTACAATAAGGCTATGTTACCTGGAGAGTGTGGGAGTCAAGGGGAGACTTGAGTAGAGTGGAGAGAAGAGTTGACGGAGTGGAGGGAGAGACTTCTGTGGCGGGTGCGTTGGACCCTGAGTGTGTGTGTGTGTGAGTGTGTGTGTGTGTGTGTGTGTGTGTGTGTGTGTGTGTGTGTGTGTGTGTGTGTGTGTGTGTGTGTGTGGTGAGAAAGAAGGAGGGTGTGGGATGAGTGTGTGGGTATTGGTGTATCGAGAAGGTGGTGTGGGGGAAGGAGTGTGGGGAAGGGCGTCTGTGTGAGTGGGTGTGGGAGTGCAGTCAGCCTGATGTGAGTAAGAGAGTGTGGTGGAGGTCGTAGAATGATGTGAGGATGTGGGTGTGGGGAAGAAGAGGATGTGTGAAGGTGGGGGTGGAGTTGGCAGAGATGGTGTGTATGGAGGTGGAGGTGTGGGGGTGAAGATCATATGGAAGTGGGGATGTGTGGAGGGGGTTAAACATAATGTAAAAAACAAGAGCTGGCATATATGGTGTCATTATATCCATATCGTAAGCAACAACAAAAACAACATTCAAATCAATATAGAAAAAACTACAGAAAAATACCATAAGAAATTGTTGTACTCAGGTGTGTAAGTTTTTTCGTTTATAACTATAATAAAAGAGTAATTAAACATACAATACCTCGTGGTTGCAGGTATAAAATACACTTTCCTGCCGTCTTTTGTTTTCTCGAGTGGGTGAAGATCTATTGTCTGCTGTAAGGTGTGTACCCAGATGACCTTACTTCTGGGGTTTAGTTTTTTTGTTTTATAATTTACTAACTTTTGTAATTCTAAAGTATTTCAGTTGTTTATTAATTTATTCACCGATATTTAACTTATATGGACATGTTTTTATTATTATTGTTGTTGTTCTTGACATTATTATTATTGTTATTATTGTTATCATTATTATTATTAATATTATTATTATTATGTTATTATTATCATCATCAATGTATCTAGTGTTATTTAACCCCCATTGTTTATTACTATATTTATCGATTAATAGGTCTACAAAGAGTTACTGGTCAATTATTTATATTACAGAACTGTATTTACCTAATGGCTACCCACTAGAGGTGGCCATGTCGAGGGAAAGAGGTGAGTAGCCTGTGTAAGATCCCCCCCCCCATTGTTCTTGATCATCTAGGCATTACTAACTACCATTATCAGTTGTGCATGGTGAGTTAGTGTATAGTTAAGGCAACATATCTGGAGGTCCCTCACCATCTTACTTAAATCGCTTCCACAATTAATATTATATATGGCACTGTACCTTATATATGTATATATTACTTATCCATTTTTAAATCGTTTAATGAACTATACAGTAAATATATTTTGTAATATATGAGAATGAGTTTTCGGGGTTTGGAAATATAATATATTTTAAGAAGACGACGATGACTTAGACGGAAGAAGAAAAGATGTAGAAGAAATATAAGCGAGAAGTACAATGATAAAACCACGTTGTGTCTCGGAGGAAATGTATAAACATTTTATTTCAGTGTGGTTGATTACATTATCAGTCATGACAACAATGTGATTCTTACAATGTTTTCACTCAGTTGCCTAATAACTGTCATACGATTATCATGCTGCTGTCAAAAACTCGGCACATGACTGGCGTAAAAATCCAAGGCTAATGCTAACTCACCTTGATCACTCGAGGTCAACATCTCTGGGGGTGACTCACCTTGGCCCAGTCGTTGGCCAGCATCTCTGGAGTGATGCTGGGATGGTTGATGAGCATCTCGACTATCTTGTACACTCCCTCAGTGATGGCGTACAGTAAGGCGTCACCTGCAGCGCCACAGTACCAATATCACGTTAGTATCTCGACACAAGGTGGACAACAAACAAACTCTTGTTTTAGTTGTGACTCACAGATGATGGACACAGGATAACATCTCCACATAAAGTTACACTTAAGTATCATAACAGTTATAGGCTCCCGTCTCTATAAAGCTTCTTCACTTCACTTCACTGACAGGAGAAGAACTATTGGTTACTGCTTACTCTGTGGATATCATTCATGGGTAAAGGATAAATGAGCGTTTGTTTAACTGGAGGTGGTTTAGGGGTAAGAGCACCTCATCATAGCCTAAAGTGTAAGGCATTGTGATTATTAAGTGTTATTACAGAGTATTTGGAAACATCACAGACCTCTCGTTAATCTTGTATTACTTAATGTTTATTATTATTATAATTATTTTAATCATTGTTATTGTATTATCATAACTCTTAATTATTATGACTTTTTAAATTGTTATCGATTGTCATCAAAATTATTAATATTAGTATTATTTTTCTCACCAATATATTTTCATATAATTTCATTTTATGGAGGGACAGGAAGGCTTTACTCAATGTTTGTTATGGAACTTTCATACTCACGTGCACGAAGAAGGTAAGGAAAGAGTTTATATATTAACAATTATTCTTATTATGTTAACTAATAGTTATAATGACGTCATCAAGGATTCCCCCCATAATCAATGTTCCGAGGATGGACTAAACAGTACAGTCTGTTTTTCAGCGTCTGAACTATAGAGACGCGCTATTTACAAAACTATCAAATCACACATTTATTTGGATCAACAGATTATGTGCAATGAAAATTTTAGAAACTTATCTACATAAAACTAACAATCGCAAGAGAGACGCACAAAATTAATTTACTGATACTTGTCAACTAACTAAAATGGTAAGTATATGTGAGGGAAGGTAAAGACAACACGTATGGGGTCCGATTGTAAAGATTCGTAAGAAAAAATTATCAAACAAAGATTCATTATGAATTTCAACTGCCATCTTTGGTTGGCAGGTGTGATGAGACAACAAGATACGTCCTCACTGGTGCAGATAAGAGAATAATCTAAGGTATGAGTAACTGAAAATCCACCACAGGACACCTTGTGGTCGGTATCACAAGGCAATAAAACCTGATCTCTGGATTAACTTAAAGTTTAGATTTATAATAGTAATGATGTGGCCGCTCTTCCGCCTTCACCACACCACAACCCCGATACTCATATATCCAGACATATTACCTTCTCTTAAGTGGGAATAAAACAACGCGGTAGACTCTCGGTGTTAATGTGACTCAAACTTTGTATGCAATTGTATCGATGTTCAAATGGGACAGTCAGGTACATTTCTTCGTCACTATTTAGGAAAAAAAACATCAACATCTCAATTTTTCAAAGAATATTTGGGAGGAGAGAAATATAAACACAAGTCCCAAGGATGAGAACTTACCCTCAGGACAAGGCTCGACGCCACTCAACCCGAGGCTGTGTTATCCAATACCTGGGCTGCGGTTCAGATGGAACCCACTCCTAATAGACCCTAAGCTAACCTAATATTATCGTAGTCATTAGTTATGAGACCCATTAGAAAAGTGTCCATTTAGACTTGGACAGGAGTTTCATTCTCAATGGTTAGATCAGGTTAGGTTTAGGTTAATATCTATTTACGATTGGGTCCCACGTGATCAGTCGCCAACATCACTCACCAACACTCACACTTATTCCTCTTTCGTCCTGAAGTAAACGAGTGGGTAGGAACAACACTTGAGGACCACACCACAGCCCATAAGGCCTCATTCAGCATTCCTCCATCAGTCATATTCAGTCTCATCGACAGATCACTTAAGAACATAAGAACATAAGAATGGAGGAAACTGCAGCGGGCCTATTGGCCCATACTGGGCAGTCCCGTTTACACCCAACCCCTATTGCTCATATAAGCATCCAACCTATGTTTGAAGCTATTCAGCGTATTCGAGTTAATGATGATATTTGGTAACTTGTTCCATTCATCCACTACTCTGCTTCCAAACCAGTGTTTACCTATTTCACGCCTAAATCTAAATTTGTCTAATTTAAAGCCATTGTTACGAGTTTGCTCATGGTTGGATAGTTTGAGTACCTTTGTAATGTCCCCTTTGTTTAGCCCTGACTTCCACTTATACACCTCTATCAGGTCGCCCCTCGCTCTACGTCTCTTGAGGGAGTGCAAATTAAGATGCTTTATCCTGTCTCTATACTCAAGGTTCCTAATGCCCGGGATTAGTCTTGTCATTCTCCTCTGAATTCTTTCCAATGATTCTATATCCATCCTGTAATAGGGTGACCAGAACTGGACTGCGTAATCCAGGTGTGGTCTCACAAGCGCAAGATACAGTTTTAGGATGACCTCGCTAATCTTGTAACTAACACTCCATTGTATGAACCCAAGTACTTTATTAGCCTTGTTACGAGCAAAAACACATTGTTTACTTGGCTTAAGGTTCCAACTTATCATTACTCCTAAATCTCTCTCCCAGTCGGATTTCTCTATGGCATCGTTGTTCATCTGGTATCAGGTTTCCCTGTTTACATCTCCTATACTGAGTACTTTACATTTGTCCACGTTGAATTTCATCTGCCATTTTTCAGACCATTCAAAAAATTTGTTTAGATCTTCATGTAGTTTTGCAGAGTCCTCGTCAGATTTAATAACACGTCCTATTTTAGTGTCATCAGCAAATTTACTTATGTTGCTGTCTATGCGGATATCTATGTCGTTTATGTATATAATAAATAATAATGGTCCAAGTACTGAGCCTTGGGGAACTCCACTTGTGACGTTGCTCCAATGGGACTTAGTGCCGTTAATGCTCACTCACTGTTTCCTGTCATGTAACCACGCCCTAATCCATTTAAGGATGTTACCTTTGATGCCATGTGCTTCTACCTTTCTAATTAGTCTTTCGTGGGGGACTCTGTCGAAGGCTTTGCTAAAGTCGAGATATACCACATCATAATTGTGCCCCTCGTCCACAGATTCGAAAACTGATGAAAAGAATGTTAATAGATTAGTTAGACAAGAACATCCGCTTATGAAGCCATGCTGGGAATCATTGATCAATCGATGCTTCTCCAGGTGATTTCGTATAGAGTTTGAAAGATTGCTTCCAGTAATTTGCCTACTATTGATGTTAGACTGATTGGGCTGTAGTTAGAGGATAGTGATCTATCCCCCTTCTTGAAAATCGGTATTACATTCGCTATCCTCCAGGATTCTGTTACTACACCTGTTTTTAAGGACATGTTAAACAACTTTGCTAAGGGCATACTAAGTTCTTCCTTACATTCCTTTAATACTCTGGCAAATATCTCATCGGGACCAGGTGACTTATTAGGCTTTAGTTTGTCTATTTGCTTACTAACATCGTTACTAGTCACTACTATCTCTCTTAATTTGTTTTCTTCACTATCTCTGAATAGAGTCGGAGCCTCGGGTATCATGTTTAAATTTTCAGTGGTGAAAACTGTTGAAAAATATTTATTCAAATTATTGCTCATTTCTCCGTCGTTATCAGTGAGCTCGCCGGAGTCTGACCGTATTGGTCCAATCTTTTCTCGTGTTTTGTTTGATACATTTGGTAGAATCCTTTGGGGTTTGTCTTCACCTCCCTTACTATCCTTACCTCATTATTCCTCTTGGCTTTCCTTATCTCGGTTTTAACCCTACTCGCCAATATCTAATAATAATCCTGGAGGTAAATTTCGCCACGCTTTATCCTTCTACCTATAGCCTTCCTTTGGCCAATGATGTTCTTTAAATAATTATTTATCCATTTAGGATCATTGATGTCTGATCTGAGTTTTTTGTATGGTATCTTCTGCCTTTGTGCATTAAGTAACTCATTATTTAAATTGTCGTGGAACTCGGCAATCTCAGTTCTCGTTATCAGGTCTGAGTCATCTGTCACGTTCACAGCCAAGTGCGACACCCCCTCTCTCAGCTGCCTCTTTAAACTGTCAAAGTTTGCCCTTCTGAAATCTGGTACTTAGAACTGACTCAAGACATTCTCCTGCGTCAGATTAAAATCTCTGCTCAGTTTCAGATTCACCTATTCAAGATGAGTGAATCGATTGCAGCAAGACCCAGCCCACAGAGTCCATTAGCTGGACGGACCTCCTTGCCACACCCAACACACGCTCGCCCTCGCCACACCCAACACACGCTCGCCCTCGCCACACTGTCTTAAAGGTTTTCAACACATATCAGTCGTGTATTATTGTTGTTTACTTAATCCGATATTCTCTAGTGGTAAGAACGCATCGTCACAACATAGGTTAGGTTAAATTAGGAAAGGTTTGGTTAAGTTAGGTTGTTAGGTCAATTGAGTTTTGTGAGGTTGGGTTAAGACAGGTTATGATAGGATAAATTAGAATAAGACGAGTTAGATTAAATTGTTTAGGTTAAGTTAGGTTAAGTTTGGCTTAGGTTAGGAGGGGTTAGGGTTGCTAAGGGTTAATTTAGGTTAGGTTACATCAGAAGAGGTAATGTCAGAATTGCTTGGTTTGGCGAGGTGAGGTTACCGTCATGAGAGTCACGTTAGGTTAGGTTAGGTTAGGTTAGGTTAGTTAACAATGGAGGTCAGGAAGTCAACAAGCTCTCTGAGTGGCCAGGAAGTCAAAAAGATCTCTATGTGGCCAGGAGGTTAACAAGCTCTCTGAGTGGCCAGGAAATTAAAAAGATCTCTATGTGGCCAGGAGGTTAACAAGCTCTCTGAGTGGCCAGGAAGTCAAAAAGATCTCTATGTGGCCAGGAGGTTAACAAGCTCTCTGAGTGGCCAGGAAATTAAAAAGATCTCTATGTGGCCAGGAGGTTAACAAGCTCTCTGAGTGGCCAGGAAGTCAAAATGATATATATGTGGCCAGGAGGTTAACAAGCTCTCTGAATGGCCAGAAAATAAAAAAAAACTCTCTATCTGGCCAGGAGGTTAACAGACTCTCTGAGTGGCCAGG